ACAGTTTCAAGAGGGTGACCAACGCTGACATAACATCTCTGACATACACTCTAATATGAACAAACAAAACCCGAGCAAAACAACACAAACCCAAAATACAGAAAACATAGGATGTTCTAGATATCATTTTACTACTCATCTGGTCTTCTATTCTTAGAGTTTAATGTGTCAAATTTGTTCTTTAGATGGTATCTAAATTCTGGTGGATTTAGCCAAGGTTGTATTTTGACTCACATGGACTTATTTTAATTTTCTTTTCTTTCAAATCAAACTTGTTTGAGAAATTGGTGGTCTCTTCTTCAGTAGGCTCATGGCCTTTGTATCTTCTCCAGGGTCTCTTCCTACAGAGGTCATACATTTAATTCTTCTGTATCCCATGTGTACAGCTACTGTTTATGGTGTTGAAAAAAGATATTCCCAATGAAGTCATCAGTGACCACATAAAATTCTATCATGTGATCTTGAAATGTTTTATTTGTTGATGAATGCAATGCCATTCATCTTAAATTTTTATTCTCAATAGTACATCTTATCATTGTCCTACTTAAAGTGACTGATAACCACTCCATTTCATCTCACTAATGCTTAGGATATCAGTCATCCTTTGTTCCATGTTATTTTTGAAGAATCCCAAATTCTCAAGGTTCATATATAGTACATTTTACATTCTGACTCATTACAGATATTTGTGGCACATTCTTTTTATGTCGACTCATGTCCTGTCAGCAAATGAAGGACTTGAAAGATAGACTCCATCTAGCTCTTCCCCAGTCATATGTCGAGAGCCTTTCTAACCTCGTGTCTTCTTCCAGCTCTGAATGAGACAATGTTCCTCCAGTATACATAAGGCTTTCTGTGGTTACCTAAGACGAGTACAACCTATTCTTTCCACCTAGTCTATGTTGGTCTGGGAGCTCTGCTGAAACCATGGGTGACCCTGGTGGTATTTGAAATAAGTGTCACATGGGTTCTAGTATCACAGCAATGTACAGCAATGTATCACTACATTATGACAAGCGGATGGATGGTGATTCCATTACTTCCTTTCCTAAAACAAATATCCTTGTAAAGAGTGTCATGGAGTAATGCATTTATTTATATGAATTGATCCTAAAAGATATTTTTACATCAAAGAACTTAGAATTTAACACTATATCACCAAGGGGTTTGTTGTTGTTGTTTGTTGTTTTCTAATCCAGCAATCCAAACATTCACCAACAGCTTAGAAACTCATCCATCTCTTATGTTTCTTTTACATTTTGATCAATCTGATGGATAAAATAACCCATATTTGTATTATAATATGTAGGTCCCCAACTATTAATGAAGCTTAATAATTTTGATAGGTCTCTCTATATTAGGAATAGTAATTTTTTTCAGAAATATTGCAAATATTTATTCTCTAATTTCCATTTAATTGTGTGTATGATGTATATAAAATTTTTTGGCTTTTCAATATTTTCAATTTTTTTTTTAATTTAAAGAAAATCATTTTATTGGGGGCTCATAAAACTCTTATCACAATCCATACATCCATCTATAGTGCCAAGCACATTTGTACATTTGTTGCATGATGTATATTTTAATATGCATAAACACACTTGTTTTAAAAATAATTTTATTAAGGAATAATTTACAACAAGGAAATTTACTAATTTTAAGTGGTTAATTCAATTAGTTTTTCAAATGAATAGATTTGTACAGTCACCACCCACAATCATGATATAGAATATTCCCATCACCTTGGAAAGTTTCCTTATACTTTTTTTGCTATAGATCTCCTTGACCCAAACCCTGTACCCTGGAAACCATTGATCAACTTTCCATCATTTTTTCTTTTGACTACAGAATTTCATTTAATACACAGACTTATACTAGACATAATCATATTTTTGTTATTCAGTAATACAAATATGACTAATGGCAGCTACGTGAAATTCTCACTTTATTAATAATATTCCTGTTGCTAGTACTTAACCAAGATTTTCCTTTGACCTATTTCAGTTATTATCCTCTGCTTTAAAGTTTTCCCTTCTCCAAACCATTCAGGGAATTCTTTACAAAATAGTACTTTTGAATTGCCCTCAGTCTGTGTATTACCTTACATGGCTCCCTATTGTCTTTTACCTCAAGTGATACATTTTAGATGGCATTCCTGCTTTTCCAAACAGAAAATTGGATAGAAATGCCATATAAAAGATGGCACAATCATTCAGTAAATATCTATCAAACTCCTCCCTGTAGGAATTTGTAGCATGGTTTTCTCCCACACACCGGCTATTCCTTGTCAATCTAATTTTAGTTTTCATTTTTGGAGAATTTCATCACCTGGTCCTGCAAGAGCACATCCATTCTTGAATTCATCACATTGCCAGTTTTCCTTTCTCTAAAGTCAATTTCACTCATGATCTCTGAGAATTTATTGCACAATCAACTGAATTTATTTGGCTGTATTTTTGCCTATTAGACTACTTATGGGTGTCAAATACCTCATAGACACTCTATTTGTGAGGCAATACCAAATTTTTACTTCATTTTGTACTCTCTCTAGAATGGGATGAGTTTTCTATGAAGTTGTATTAAAATTTATTTAGCTGATATGTCTGGTTGCCTCTTGAAAATATGACTTTCTTTTCATTCCCTGAATCACTCAGGTCCAGGTGAAAACAATCCCTGTAAATTCCCCAAAGACCTAGAGAGAGCTTCCCTTTGTGAACCCAAAGATACCAACTTTGTTGTTTAATAAATCCCATTGCAAGATGATCTTGGTCAATTTCCAAATCCCTACAGCATCCATTTTTTTTCGACAGCTGCTTAACAACTAATGATTCAATGCAGCCATTTGTATTTAAAATTGACCACTTACCTTCTCTCTGGCAGAAGCCTACTCATCATTTGACTATTCCATAGTTCTGATTCTGTTATAGATCTGGTAAGTGCTTTCAAATGACTTTAAATGCCTGTCTGTCCTTTCCCCTTCTCTATGGAAGTGAGATCAGTAAAACGGCTTGCATATATGTTGCTGCCTATGAAGAAACAATTCAAATGAAAGCAATGTGATATCTCCTTGAGGAAGACCTTCGATGAGATGGATGGGCAGAATATCTGCAACAATGGGCCCAGGAGAGTGCTTCATTCATTGTATGCCACAATCATTGCTACAGCACCTAACAGCAACAGCCTTTTGGTAAATTTGTGTAAGTTATAGATCATAAGTATTTATAGGTGGAATAGACACTCATATTTTAAAGATAAAGAAATTGAAATTAAGTCTTCCCTTGCTGAACAGAAGCTGACCGCCACATTTTTCTCTTCCGCAAGGCTTCTGCATTAGGACTAGTGATGTTTTCGTTAAAGGCGCACACTTAATCATTGTGCCGCCGTGGCTCCCAAGACCACGAAGAAAAGAGTCCAAAAATAAAATATGTTCATGTTGGTGCATGAAGATACAAAGAAGCCAACAACACAGAACAGAACCCTACAAATAGACATAATCACACATGGAAATTATGTGTATGATAAAAAGTATATCAAGTGAGTGCAGAACATAAGCACTGTTTAATATGTGATTTGAGATTATTGAATAGCCAGGTGGGAAAAAGATAAACCTTCATCCATTCTTCATATCTTAACTGTAGACTCCAAAGGGGATGTAAAATTTGAAGCTACACAAATATCAGGAACATACATTTCTATGGACTGAGAGAGAGAAAATAATTCCCAACAAACCCCCAAATTCAGAAAGAAGAAGAGAAATATAAAAAAATTGATTACATAAATAATTTTATGTGATGGAAAAAAGAAAAGCAAAGTTAATGGGTTAGTATCAGAATAACATTCTTAATGTACATATGCTGGATTTCAACCAGGGAACATTCTTCTATCAATATGTTAATAGCTTTTCTCTAGAAACTGTTCATTGAAACCTCACAATAATGTTGCTTAATGGCCCAGGCATCTTGCATGTGATACAGCAGGTACGTGTGGTTGATTTGCTCTTTCATGGAGGATATGCTTGTAGTGAATAATAACTTTGTGTGTGTGTACTCAGACTGAATACATTTTCTTCATAGAATAACTGCTTAGTCTATTAGTAAATTAATAAGTGCTATTTATTTTCCTTTGGATTATATAAACAAACAGATAATCACTCAGGTAGGCATGGCAGTTTGGGATGATATAACCTAGTTTGATTACCAGTTAGTATCAGAAGGGAAATATTTGTAATTGCTATGAGTTATATGGTATTTCCCTGCAGTCTCTAATAATCTATAACTCCCTTTCACATTGATGTGCCAAGTGTGAAGAATGGGAAGAATGAGAGAAATAAGCTTCATAAGTTCATGAATACATGTTGCTAGAACAATTCAACTAGAAATAAAGTGTTATTGATCAGTTAGTAATTTAGGTATATGAAGTCCATAATTCAAATATTCTTTTTTCCTCATTTAACTCCCTCTGCCCAAGGAAGATCAGATTAAATATTAGATCTTGATTTTCCCAGAGCCATTTTAAGAAGCATTTATATAGTTATGATGAAATGATTTACTAAATATGTAATATTTTATAATTAATATGGTATTATAATCTCCTTTACTAGAGTATAAACTTTGGTGAAAACTCGCCTTTTGTAGGTTCAGTTTTTTAAAAAAATCTTTTGGTTGTTAGAACCTTTGTTAAAGTGAAGTCTTTGACATTGAAATTTCAATCATCCAGCAAAGAAAATAACCCCTTAATATACAATACATCTCTCAGGTTTGATGTTAAAGTAGCTCATTTATAAGTTAAGCTTATGTGCTAACAATATTGTGTGAATACATACCATGTCTCTTTTTGCGGCATTTTTATGCAAATAAGAAGCGCATTGTATATTTTTGCCAGTCTTATAATCCTTTTAAACATTATTTTCCTAAATGTTCTATACACCTTATATGTGTGGGTGCAATATTTGTGCAAAACACTGTACTTATCCTGGAATATTACTTATTCTTAATTGCATCAGGAAGAAAATATCAAGCATTATTTATGTTATTCTCCAAATGCCATAAAAAGACAGTCTTGATTATTTATTTACCTTTTTTAAAAAATCTGAGAAATTTGTGTAAAAGGCAGGTGTTTTGTTTAGAGGAACTCTATTGTTAGTGTTTCAGATTTTCAAATTGGTGTGGAAAATAGAGCAATGGCCTGAAAATCAGTCAATTGAATTTAAATAAAGCTTTTGCTTGGGACAGAACAATTTCTAAAAAGAAGTGCAACAATGTATAATAAGATTACCATCTAATTTTAGTGTAAGAACAGCATAGGACTCTAGATATTCATATGATAGATTATAATAAATACCCAGGAAAAAGTTGTTTGAGTTGATATACCAACAGCACTGCCATTGATTTGATTCTGATTCAGAATAGAATTGTCCCATGAGATTTTCAATGCTGTCAATTTTTTACAGAAGCAAATTGTCACATCTTTCTCCACGGAGCTACTAGTGAGTACTAACTGCTGACCTTCTGAGTATTAGGTAAGCACTCAAAACACTGTGCTATCAGGGCATCAATGTTTACACAAACTCAATCAAACTCATTGGCATCAAATCAATTCTGACTTATAGTGACCCTACACAACAGGGTAGAACTGCACCTGTGGGTTTCCTAGACTGTAAGTATTTATGGGAGTAGAAAGCCTAGTCTTTCTCCTGAGGAGCTGGCTGGTGATTTCAAACTACTGACTTTGATGTTAACAGCCTATCTTGTGAGCACTATGCCACCAGGGTTCCTATCAATGTTTACAGAACCCCCGAAAATCTACTGAATTGATTCTGACTCATAGCTACACCACAGGATAGAGTGGACTTACTCCATATGGCTCTCAAAAATTATGAATATTTATGGAAGAAGACTGCCTCAATCTTTCTCCTATAGAGCAACAGGAGGGTTCACACCCCTGATCCTCTAGTTGGCAGGCCAACTCTGAACCCGCTGCGCCACCAGGGCCCCAAAGGACATCCACGACTAATGCTCCTTATGTCCTCCATAGGGAACTTAGACAATACTTGGTCACATACAAATTGAAATGGAAAACAAAAATGATTATTGTAAACGTAGATTCTTGGAATTAAAGTTTTTGCTTCATGGACTTTTTCTTGATTTTTGTTTTTCTGTGATACAGGCTTTTCACCCATCAAGTAAGACAATGGATGTTGCCAATAAATCAACTTTGTCTGAATTTATTTTGCTGGGCCTCTCCAGTTCCTGGGAGCTACAGATGTTTTTCTTCGTAGTGTTTTCATTGTTTTATGTAGTTACAATGGTGGGTAATAGTCTCATAGTCATCACAGTTATAGCTGACTCTCACCTACACTCTCCCATGTATTTTTTGCTTACCAATCTTTCAATCATTGATATGTCTCTTGCTTCCTTTGCCACCCCCAAGATGATTACAGACTACCTCACTGGACATAATATTATTTCGTTTGATGGTTGCATAACCCAGATCTTTTTTCTTCATCTTTTTACTGGTACCGAGATTATTTTACTCATGGCTATGTCCTTTGACAGGTATATAGCAATATGCAAGCCCCTCCGCTATGCATCAATCATAAGTCCTCAAGTGTGTACTGCCCTTGTGGTGGCTTCCTGGGTTGTGGGAGTCATGCATTCAATGAGCCAGGTCATATTTGCCCTCACTTTAACATTCTGTGCTTCCAATAAAGTAGATAGTTTTTTCTGTGACCTTCCTGTGGTTTTCCAGTTGGCTTGTATAGAAACTAATGTTCTGGGTCTCTTTATGATCTCAACAAGTGGTATAATTGCTCTGTCCTGCTTTGTTCTTTTATTTAATTCTTATGTCATTGTCTTGCTCACTATCAAACAGCATTCTTCAGGGGGATCCTCCAAGGCCCTGTCCACTTGCACAGCTCATTTCATCGTTGTTTTCATGTTCTTTGGACCATGCATCTTCATCTACATGTGGCCACTCAGTGATTTTCTGATAGACAAGGTCCTGTCTGTGTTTTATACTATCTTTACTCCAGTCCTGAACCCAATAATCTACACCCTGAGGAATCAGGAAGTGAAGACAGCCATGGGGAAACTGAAGAACAGGTTTCTAAAGTCCAACAAAGAATATGTTAATAGCTTTTCTCTAGAAACTGTTCA